CCGATCCGGCGAAAACCGCAAAAACCGCTCCGAAGCTGTGACCCAGTCCGGCGATCGTCAAACACATCATGGGTGGTGCTACGTACATCACCCCATGATGCAGTCTTCGAGATTAGAGTGGTAAGTACGGTACTAATAATTACACTCATAGCGCTTTTCATCAAGGATCTCAAAGCGCTGTACAGGATAGTAGGAGACGCTCGGCATGAACATATTATAAACACATTTTTTAAAATAATTTACTAAATAAACTAAGTCACTTTTTACAGGATATTAATTTTTTATTATTTGTATGTTTATTTAAACCAATTTCAATAGTAAACATTTAAAACACGAAAAAACTGTACACACAACACCTAAAACATAATGGTATGCACGAATGTGTAAAAATAATCAATTTTAAATCATTCTTGTTTCGTGATTATCTGACGTTTTGGAAATCCACCCCCTCCCCGAATTTTCGAAGATACGAAAAAACCTGTCCATATGTCCAGTTGCCTGTCCGGACCGAGAGTCGTTGTTCAACGGACGCGCAATAGATGGTGGCAGTGCCATCTACATCTGCAGAACGTGAAGAACCAGTGGTATCTACATCTACAGAAACATGGAACCAGTGGCTTCTACATCTACAGAACATGAAGAATCAGCGGCATTTACATCTGCAGGACATGAAGAATCAGTGGCATCTACATCTGCAGAACATGAAGAATCGGTGGCATTTACATCTGCAGAACATGAAGAACAAGTGGCATCTACATCTGCAAAACATGAAGAACCAGTGGCATCTACATCTGCAAAACACGAAGAACCAGTGGCATCTACATCTGCAGAACATGAAGAATCAGTGGCATCTGCATCTGCAGAACATGAAGAATCGATGGAATCTACATCTGCAGAACATGAAGAACCAGTGGCATCTACATCTGCAGAACATGTAAAACATATTGGCATCTACATCTGCATAACATGAAGAAAGTGGCATCTACATCTGCAAAACATGAAGAACCAGTGGCATCTACATCTGCAGAACATGAAGAACCAGTGGCATCTACATCTGTAAAACATGAAGAACCAGTGGCATCTACATCTGCAGAACATGAAGAACAAGTGGCATCTACATCTGCAGAACATGAAGAACCATGGCATCTACAGCTGCAGAACGTGAAGAACCAGTGGCATCTACATCTGCAGAACATGAAGAACCAGTGGCATCTACATCTGCAGAACATGAAGAACCAGTGGCATCTACATCTGTAAAACATGAAGAACCAGTGGCATCTACATCTGCAGAACATGAAGAACCAGTGGCATCTACATCTGCAAAACATGATGAATCAGTGGCATCTACATCTGCAGAACATGAAGAATCAGTGGCATCGACATCTGCAGAACATGAAGAACCAGTGGCATCTACATCTGCAGAACATGAAGAACCAGTGGCATCTACATCTGCAGAACATGAAGAACCAGTGGCATCTACATCTGCAGAACATTAAGAACCAGTGGCATCTACACCTACAGGAGATTGCACAACTTTGGAGGCCATTCCCCGTGGTTAGTGTACACGCCGTACAACACGTTTAGAATCGAAAGGAGTAAAGTTGGACTTACAAACAAATCAACTGATGAATAGACCTCTGGAACATCACCTGTTCGTAAGTAGAGGAGGTCCTGTAGAAGTTTTTTTGGGTTCCTGTATATTGCAGTCGGAGGGTAATGTGGCTATTACAAGGCTTTAAAGTCTTCTTTAACTGCACATACTTGTGGTTAAACATGCAAACAAAAATGCTTTGGTAATGCACGGAGCGCCGCGGTGGGGAGATGTTAACTCTCTCGCCTGGTACGCAGGAGGTCGTGAGTTCGATCCCGACGCCTGCTGCATATTTGCAGTTTGCGTGTTTCTCTCCCCGTGGTCACGTGGATTTTTTTCTCTCTCCACATTTAGAATCAACGTTTTAATATTTGGCTGCTATAAATTTCCACATGAAGGTAAGCCACTTCATTGCGCTATCATTTGTGAGAGTCAGGCCGCTTCTAAAAACGAGCTATACAGCTCAGTGGTGCCTCACTTGTTAAAATAAAAAACAACTTTCAGGTTTAAACTGGCTGTGTCGGGTGGCGGTGGGTTAAGGACAAATTTACCTGCTGAAATAACAAACACAGTAGAACCTCGGAGATCGAACGCACCAGAACTCGAACAAGTCGGTGTTCGAACGATATTTCCGAACATTTTTTGCCCCGGAAACCGAACGAAATTCGGAGGTCGAACGGGAAATCGCCACTTGAAAGAACCTGTACGGCTGAGACGCGTATGGCCAGCGTGCATGACGCTTGCCCAGACAAAGGTTTTACCACCTCCTCCTCCACCTCACCACCTTCCACTCAAGCCATCAACTCTCCTTACTACAGGTAAAGTGAAGTTCAATGTTCATTTATTTCATTTATTCCATATATTTATCATTTATTACATTTATTGTGTTTCTTGTTTTTTTGTATGATTTATGCATGTATGACTGTAAACTTCGTGTAAAAATGCTTTATAATGAGAGATTTCTTGTGTCTGGAACCAAATACTGTCATTTACATTAATTCTTATGGGGAAAATTAATTCGGTGTTCGAACAAATCGGTGTTCGAATGGCCTTCTGGAACGAATTGAGTTCGATCTCCGGGGTACCATTGCACTGTAATAAAAGGATGTGCCTACCAATTTTTGTCAGTAGGGAGCGATGTTGCTGCTGCTGCAGGGTTATCCCAGTCGATTCAGCCTCAAATGACTACCTGGTGCGGTGTGCAGTAAACATCGCCACTTGGGGAGACAAAGGCGGCCGGGCATGGTGCTTGCCACCCACCCCTCGTGTGCCGTGCCGGCCTTCATAGGTGCTGCTCGCTAACAGCACTTGCCCCTACAGCCTGTTAAGGCTACACGGGGATCTTTGTCTGCCGGGAAAGGTCCTGGCAATGATTATTCAACATCGCTTTGCCATATTCTGAGGTTTTTTTTTCGGTAAAGTCACGTAGGTAAAATTAAAATTAATAAAAGTAAAATAAAATAAAAATCACGACGTTTCGGAGGCTGTGACGGTTCCACCTGAAGACGGAAGCTTGTGTTGCCTCCGAAACGTTGTGATTTTTATTTTACTTATTAATTTTAATGTTTTACCTCCGTGACTTTACCGAAAAAACCTAAGAATATGAATCCTTGCAGTCACGAAAGCTTCAAATCTAGAATTAATCGCCTTGCCAGGCACGCTGAGGAGAGAGGCTTGCGGAGCCCCAGTGGTGTCATCACCTGATGACGGCTGCTTGTGTTGCGATCTATCGTCTGTCTACGTGGCTTCACCGAAAGAACCAAAGAGTCTGGATTGCTGCAGTCTCCAATTAAGCTTCAAATCAAGATTAGTTAAATGCCGCTAAGAAATAAGTTGTATCGATTCCCCCTTAATCGGCGTCGATTCCACCGTCGCGGTCAACCCAAAGAGGAATCGAATCGACGTCGCAACTTTACCATTTACCGACTCCACCGCAAAAAACCCGATGGGAGGAATCGATTGCCGCGAATCGATAAGCGGTAAACAATCGCAAGAATCGATTCCACGTCAACGCCCCCCCCCCTCCGACCCGCCATTGCGAGTCGGTGGCTCTGAGGTAAAATTTAAACATTTTATTATTTTAAACTCGCGACGTCAAACACAAAGATTCTCCCATCCCCACCCAGAATAGGGAGGGGCAAAGTGTTAGCGGTAGCGAGTAGCAGCACACGCGAAGTGCCGACATTGCGGGTGGCTAACACCACGCCCGGCCGTCTTTGTCTCTCCCCCTGCTAATGTTTACACACACACACGAGACACCAGGCACTCAGTCGACTCCGAGTCTAACTGCGACACACAGCACCAGCTAGTAAGAGCATTCATTCGACTCCGAGTCTAACTGCGACACACAGCACCAGTTAGTACGAGAATTAATTCGAGTCCCGAGTCGCACTGCGCCACAGACACCCACCACACACACCGAGCCATGCCCGACTTACTGGCGGAGAAGGCGGAGGCCGCGTGGCGCTTCGTCCGCGCCTCCATGTCGTGCTGGGGGAGAGTTCGGCGCGCTTCTACACGCCGACGCGACGTGGAGCCGCGTGGTGACAGGGGGGGACGAGGGGCCCGGGGGGCCCGGGGCGCACGGGGGGGACACGTCTCCCGCTCGAGTTCTCGGGGCCCTGCTGGGTGACGTCACGTCACGTGACGCGCTCACCCGCCAATCGCGGCCGGGCGACGCCGACCACGCAGCCGCAGGTTCAAATCCAACCGCCGCCGGTGAGTTTTAATATTTTTATTTATTTTAAAAAAAAGTATTAATTGATCGGTAAAGGTTGAGCACAACACAAGAACAACAAAAACTGCAGACGTTTGTTTCGTCGTTGAAATTTCACGCGTGTGGGTTTGGGTTTAAGTGGAGGCGTTAACTACATTTGCTGTGCGGCATTTAAATGTGACCTGTCATGTCACGTGACGCGGCCACACACCACTACGCGTTCAAATCCAACCACCGGTTCGTGAATAAAAACTAAATATTATTATTAAATATTATTGTTTAATAAAAACAAAATATTATTTTTTAAATGTATTAATTTATCAGTGCGTTTAAAAAAAAACAATGCAGATAAATGTTTCATTTTTGATTCAAAGTTCACTCATATGGGTTGAGTTTAATTGAACGTGTTATCCACACTTATGGTACGGTATTTAAATGTGCGCTGGTGCGTCACGTCAGTAAAGTTATTATTTATTATTTGTCCTGGGGGTTGTTTTGGGGCCGTCCCTAAATGACGTCACGCACCGGGGGGGGGGGTCAGACATTTGTGACGATGTGTGACGAGGGGGGGGGGGGGGTTTGAGAAATGTGACGTCACATCAAAAAGCGCAACTTTAAATAAATATTAATTAGGTATAATTGTTCAAACAACACTAATTTTCATTATTAACTATTTGGTAATTTAAATTTACTAAGGTCACCTTTTATTTATGCTTTGAAGGAGCATTTTGCTTCTCCATGGGAGAATAGAGACATAAATGTTGTGAATTGTTCAATGATTGTTATTTAACATTATGATTCTACCAGGGCTTTTCATTCTCTAAATGAATGTGATTGTCGTAATTGCACTCTCCATTTTGCTTCGTTCTACTACAAAGTTTCAAGTATTTTCTTAATAGTTATAATTACTTTTCGATTTAAAGCTTTCGTGACTGCAGGGATTCATCTTCTTGGTTCTTTCGGTAAAGTCACGTAGAAGGGAAGTAATAAAATAATAAAAATAAACATAATAAACAATTCTCACTGAGAATTGTGAGAATTGTTTTATTATGTTTTATTTTTATTATTTTATTACTTCCCTTCTACGTGACTTTACCGAAAGAACCAAGAAGAGTTATAATTACTTTTAATATTTTCTAATTATAAGAGAATTTCAATATAATATTCTGAACATCTGCAGTTTTAGACGTTGAATATTTCAATTGAGTTTCATGCTAAATTTCAACTTTCCAACGCCTCCTTTTTAATAAATGTTTTCTCCTACAACATCAGAGTGCAGCGCCACATTAAATACGCACTACAATGGCAACAGTTTTAGTTTAAAGTAATTTGAAGCATCCTCTTGGTTCTTTCGGTAAAGTCTTTAAATCGAAATTTTATTTGAAGCATGTTTTTTTTCAAAATGGAAAAATGGTTTGGGGGGGGGCAGAGCTTTGTGACGTTCATTTGTGGGGGGGGGGTCTCACTTTTTGTGACGCCGTGTGACGAGGGGGGGAGGGGGGGGTACAAAATCGGCCAAAATCGCGTGACGTCATTTATGGACGGCCCTTTATAATAAACACAAAACAACTGATTATTTGAGGTTTCGTTTTAATTTCCCGCGTGTGGTTTGCGTTTTAATTTTAGATGTTAAACACAATCCTGCAGAGGGAGCTGGTAGGAACGTTGGGTTGCTCGGTCAATGGCCTGCAGGGTCAACGGCGGCGTGGTGTATTCCGCAAATATGCCCGACTGTGAGGGCGGGCACAAGCCGGCGTGAGTAGGTTAAACGTTGAGTTTTATAAGGGCACCACGGGGTGACCAGCCCCTCCCCACCCAGCCCCACCCCTCCCACCCCACCCAGCCCCACCCTCCCCACCCAGCCCCTCCCCTCCTCACCCAGCCCCTCCCTCCCCACCCAGCCCCTCCCTGCACGACGGATGGACACAATAATCCCCTGTGGGCTGGTGTAACCAGAAGGTTCCTACCAGTACTCCATTCACTCTACGGCAGTCACGTGTGCGCTGTTGCGTCACGTGACCCGGCCACTCACCACCCACGGGTTTCCAATCCAACTACCGGTCCGGAAATGTTTTTATTGTTAATTTTTTTTTAATGACAGATTGATTTGATGTTTCATTTCGACTTCACGCTTGCGTGTTGAGTGCAATCGAATAAGTGAACTACATCTACTGTACGGTAAATAGTACGTCACGTGACCCAGGCCACCGATTGCTTGGCAAGATCCAAGCATCGGTCACTTCATAAATTAAAAACATTCTTAATTTCTCAGTGGGTTTTAAACATGCAAATGGATTTAATGACCCGTTTAAATTTCACGCATATGGGTTGAGTTTAATTGAAGACGAGCTTTACTACCCGGCTTCGCCCGAGACTTGGATTCTTGTCTTGGATTAATACACGTCCTACGTGGAGGGTGGGGGGTGTGTGACGTCAGCAGGCACACCGCGTGACGTCAGCAGGCTCACCGCGTGACGCTGCCGCATGCGGGTGACATCACAGATGTGACGTCACCGCTCACTTGCCGTGCAAAATATATCCATTATTGCACCCCCCACCCCCCCCAAAATACAAAAGTCTATTTTTACTTTTTGCATTGTGTACAGTCTGAAAGCTACCCACATGCCAAATTTAAAGTTTGTTGCATGTTGGGAAGTACGCTAAACATTTCGAACAGACACACATTCACAAATTTCCCTTTTATATATTCCCTTTTGTATGTCAACTCCATTTGCTGGTCGCTATTGAATTACGCGCGACCCCATCACGTGACCTATCCAACAGCGGCAGCCACGACAAGTTAAATATTTTATTATTACGTAATAACTTACTTGCGAACATGTATTATACAGCTCTTTTAAGCCAAGGCGCTTTACACGAGTGGTACAATTAGGGGAGCTAAAAATGATACGGTGAATAGGGATGGGGGGGTGTTGTATATGTTGGTTATACTAAATTTGTTATGTTGTATGCGTGTGTGGGTGAAATTATTATGTTGTATATGTGGGTTATGAATATTCAGTGAAAATAATAATAATTAAATGAAATTTGGCCAAATGTGTAATTATCCGGAAATATGTTAATTTATGTAATTATGCACATTTTAATTATGCCAATTCGAGAGGTAATCGTATTAATTATGCGAGTGGGTGTAATTATGATAATGCAAGTCGTTATGATAACCAGACCCCGCCTCGGTGACGAGGGTGGGTTATCGATCGGAATAAGGCAATTAATCGTATGCAGTTATGCAGGTGTGGTGTAAGTATGCAAGATTAACTTAGATTAACTCGGCATCGTTGTCTAGGTTCGTCTCATTCGCGCTTTAACATTCCCAGAGTGTATATTCGTGGTATATTTTAGGTCCCCGGTTCACCCCGTTATCGCTTTAACATTTACTGAGTATGTATTAGTGTGTTTATTAGGTCACCAAGTTCAGATCTCAACGCAGAAGCAGATCTTATGCATAGATTTCAGGAAAGAATCACACAACCACTTCTGTATGATCAATTTATTACTAATTCAACCTTAACATGATATAGTATGCGAACCTCTCAATCCCGGAACGTCAACACGGCATCATACGTATCATCAACGATTGTCTGATTTCACTTTGACAACGGCACATGGATCCCGCATAACGCGATGGTTGTTAGTGAGAGAGAGGTCGTTTAAAATATGCAAATACTATGCTAAGAAAAACCTTAACGTTAATGAATGATTCATACTCAATATTGTTCACGCAGTACCGCACTCCTTATTGATCATACGCAACCCTTATCACGTTGTTAGCACCTTGGGTCACGGGACAGTTGAATATTCTGTAGAGGATGCGAGTACGTGCGGCGATTATGACTGAAAGATACTTGAAAGATTATACGGCGATAAAAAAACACAATCAAAACAGTTATTATCTTAAAGGCACCAATCTCAACAGATACATCGGCAGGTTATCTGACAACAGAACGGCTCGGAGTAAGGGCCTGCGACGTGGCTCCTTTTCCGAAGATCGTTATCTTATACCAAGTTTACTAATTGGGGACCAGATCACCTGATAAGGATCCGGTGGGCCACCACTCCCCACGTGAGCGTGGCTCGGCGGAAGGAGGTGCCAAGAATCAGTTCGTATTGATGGATCTGTTGGGAATTTATGCGATTAAGAGTACAGCCCACTAAATATTAAAGATAAAAATTACGAATACTCTTATAAACGACGGATGGCCATCACTCGGTCTCGTTGTGATGCCTTCCCAGCCACGGATGGCTTATGGGTTCGAGTGTGTTTGAGTGGTAAGAGTTGTCTTGAATAGTCGTGTTCGGAGTCGATTCTTTATGTCAAACAGACGCCTGGTGGTCGTTGTGGTGAGGGGGCGGTGCGCGTCATACGTATCAGTCGCCTCCCCTGTCACCGTGGTGAACTGGTTCGGATTGCCCGTTGATACGCTGTCGCAGTTCGGAACCCGGTCGGTAGGTGGCGCCCACAACTCGCTCGCAGCGTGCAGTGTTGGGTCGTCGACCAGGGTGTGCACGGAGCCCTCGTCGCCAAACCGCGACCCTCACCACTCCGGCGGCAGCAGAGACCTCCGACTCGGCAGAGGTGGACCCACGCAGGCCGGGTTGAGCTGTCAAGCGGGTCTTGCCCGCCTGCAGAGGAGATGGGGAGCCGCTTGAGTCGAGCCCCGAGAGCCGGCTTGGTAAGCCGATCGAACTCGGCTGAGTCCCAGACGAGCTGAAGATGAGTCGAGCCGACCCGCTGGTCGCAGCTCGCTCCTGAGCCGACCCTCCCGGTCGAGCTCGCTCCTGAGTCGACCCGCTGGTCGCACTCGCTCCGAGTCGACCCGCTGGTCGCACTAGTTTCCAATGCTCAGGATCCTTTCCTTTATGCCGAAAAATCCCCCTGGATCCCGCCCACAAGGCGGGGCTTCTTTCGATTTTTGCTGTGTCAGGATTTGTCCGTAGGCAGGTGTGTCCATGTGTGTGTCCGTACGTCCGTATGTCCTTG